TGTTGCGTTTATTTCCCTGGCCAGAAACATGTGCTCCATCACTTTACAGTCCAGAGGAGACTCAATTTGCTAATAAAAAGATGCAGTTTCTTTTATAGGAGACACAAAGAGTTTCCACTCATTTTTTATTACTCACAAATTGAGACTTTGATGCAATAAAATCTCCCTTAGGCCTTATCATAGATCAAGAATGAATCTATTTTAATAGAAAACAAGTGACAGAGCAACCTGCGCAACGAGCGCCGCGAGAGGTCAGGGGGCTGCGTCCCGTCCCCTGGAAGGGAACCCGTTGCCCCTTCCCCAGGAAGGAGGACCCACGCGCTCTGGGGAAGGGGGCGGCGCCCTGCGCCTGTGTACCAGGAAGTGTTTTTACCCCCAGGGCCAAGCAGGCGCTGGTGTCCCAGGAGCTGAAGAAGGCTGCCAAGCGGACAGTGAGCATTAGCGAGTAAGAGAGCCTCGGATGCTGGCTCGGCCCCGTGTGCCCTGCAGTGCCCTCCTCTTGGGCCGCTGCCTCCACCTCTACCTTGCCCCACACCTGCTTGCGGCACATAGACTGCGGCCGCAGGACACGCGCAGACACGTGTGGTCATAGAAGCCAGCACGGGGCTTGTCATGTGTGCGCCCACCCTGACCCCTTATCACGGAGTCTGCACATCTTCACCCTGTGGGGCTCTGGGACAGGGAGGGGCTGGCCTGGTCCCTTGGCCTTTCTGAACTCCATTTGCTCTCCCAGGAACCCAGACACCTCAGGCAATGGGACCAGAGAGAAGGCTGAGATGACTCTCACTCTGCCTGCTGAGCCTGAGTGTCTGGAGGGTGAGGCTGGTGAGAAGTTGAAGAGGCCCTTCAGGTGAGGACTGGCCCAGAACTCTGAGCTGAGCCCCACCCCAGAGTCTTCCAGTGGGACCTTGAGCCTCCTCCTGGGTTGGGAGGGACCTTGGAGAGACACTGGAGTACATACAGCTCAGACCTCCTAGGACAGGTCTGACCTCCAGGGCCACCTCAGGGACCCCAACCCTGTCCTCACTCCTTTCTTTCCTCCCCAGGACAGGATCTCTGGGGGTGGGGTGTCAGGCTGGTGAAAGGGTGTCACCAGAAGGGAACCTGTGGGCAAGGCCGGGGGCTCAGCTGTTGAAGGCATGTGTGTGCATACACAGGGATAGGAGAGCACACGAGTGTGCAAGCCTGGGTGAGCATACTTGAATGTGTGTGAGAATCTGAGCATGTGTAGATAGATGTGAGCTCACACAGTGGGACCTGATTGGGATTTCAGTCCTCGGGCCCCTCCCCTCCGTTTCCTCATTTGTCTTGATTTGCCTGGCATTGAGGCTGCCCTTCCCTGCCCCATTCCCCAGGCCGAAAGCTCTCCTGCAGCTCTTCCTTGCAGGTCACTGGTGCCTAGGCCTCAGGGAAGTGAAGGAACCTTGGGGAAGGGCATGCGATCCTGGTCCCCAGAGCCCTTGAGTGTCCCTGTGAGCCAAGTCCTCTCCTGAGCATTTATGAGGTCTCAGCAGATCTAGGTCCTCACATCCCCCTGCCCTCAGCCTTATGCTATTCCAACCTGGAGACACCGTCACCATCACCCCACTCCATAGGCCCCGCTCAGTCTCCCAGGAACTTTGGTTGGGGAACTTGGGTGCTGAGGCAGTTCTTACCATCATGGTGAAAACTTTGGGAGACTTCATTGCCAACTCGCTGTCTGCCTCCATCTTCATCTGCTCTGGGTCATGCCACTCTCCGGATCTTCGAGGAGCCAAGTTCTCATTTTGGGTTCCAGAAGCTGTGAGCCCCAGGGTCCCTGGCAGAGTAGGCTCAAACAACTGCTGTCTGCACACCCACCGGCCAGCCCCTTAGCACATCTCTCTCTCGATTCTGCCCCAGGTCTGCCTCCGCCACCTCCCTGACGCTGTCCCGCTGTGTGGATGTGGTGAAGGGGCTTCTGCAGTAAGTGTGTGCGCGCACCAACGTGTGTGAAGGGATAGGGCATCTTGGAGCCTCGTGTGCAGCTGTTCAGACTTGGTCTGCGTGCGTACCTCAGTCTGCCCATCTGTGTTGCCCAGCAGTCCGTGCGAGTCTCTGCTGAGCCCCACAGGCCGAGCTGGGTGCATGGCCTCATTTTCAGCTCCTGCTCAGCTCTCCTCCAGGCTCTGTCCCTCACAATTTCCTCACAGGGGACCAAGAGTTCCAGCCTGAGGCTGCACAGGAGCTACCACTCAGTTGGGAAACAGGTTCAGAAATCTCAGGGACTCGTTCAGGGTCACAGAGCCAAGGAGTGACCAGACCAGGGCTGAAACCCCAGCCCCGAGGTTTCTCTGCATCCATCCACTCTGCCCCGTCTCTGCATTTCTCTGTGCCCCTGCCAGCTCCACACTGACCCCTGGGGTCCGAGGCCAGGTTGGGGACCATGCTCCCTACGCCTCCTGGCCACCTTCTGTTGCCTTCGATGTCTGCTTCCTGTTGTTGCTGCCTCAGAGGAACTTGCTGAATGCCCTCCTGACCCTCCTCTCCCCCCAGTTTCAAGAAGAGGAGAGGACACTCTATTGGGGGACCCTCCGTGCAGCAGTATCAGAGCATCCCTGTGTGCGTGGCTGCCCGACTTCCTACCTGGGCTCAGGATGTGCTGGTGAGGAGGAGCTGGGCCACATGCATCAGGTGCTGATACGGGGAGTGTGGGCCCCAGGAGTGGCCCCAGGAGGCCAGGGAAGCAGGGCCGGGCTCTTCAGGAGGAGCAGGAGTTTTCCGCCACAGCTTGTGGTGGGCGTCCCTCAGCCATTTATAATAGGGGCATGGACCGGAGAGGAAGAGACAGGAGGTTGGGAGACCAGGAGGCCAGCCAGGCAGTATGGGGTATCAGCCAGGGGAGGCTGCTGCAGGGGTCTAGGCAGAGATGATGAGACCCTACTGTGTGCACCAGCGCATGTGAGAGAGCCTGTGAGCGTGCACAAAGAGGCCTGTGTGGCAAGGATCAGGGGCACCAATCTCTCCTTTTTTCCTACAGGATGCCCACCTTTCTGAGGTCAATGCAGTTCGTTTTGGTCCCAATAGCAGCCTCCTGGCCACTGGAGGGGCTGACCGCCTCATTCACCTCTGGAATGTTGTGGGAGGTGAGGGTCCCTCCCCTGCAGGCCAACCCTCTGCTTTCTCTCCAGTCCCCACCCTCAGCTCGTTTCTTGGTGGGTAAAGGTCTCGGACCTCTTTATGTTTCCTCACGTGGACTATTCTTGTGGGCAGTGGCCAGATGATTCCTCGGCAAGAGTGCTGAGGTTGCTTTTCTGAAGAAGGGTAGAGTCTTCTAGCTCCTGGGGCCCAGGCCTGCAGGATGAGGAGGGCTGAGCTCACATGGTCCCTGTTAGGAGATGAGGGGTTCTCTAGGCCACTTCTTTTATTTTTTATTGATTTCAGAGAGGAAGGGGGAGGTAGGGAGAGAGAGAAACATCAATGAATAGAGAGAGTCATTGATTGGCTGCCTCCTGCATACCCCACATTGAGGACTGAGCCCACAACCTGGGCATGTGCCCAGGCCAGGAATCAAACTGTGACCTCCTGGTTCGTAGGTTGATGCTCAACCACTGAGACATGCCGGCTGGGTGCTAGGCCACTTCTGTTATCATTTGAACGCTCAGAACTCAATAGGAAACCAATGTTAGCTAGCTACTTTGGGCTGTGTGTGTGTGTGGATGGCGAGAGGAGAGGTGGAGTGGGTGGGTATTGGGAAGTTAGAGCCAGCTCCTGGAGGCTTCCTAGAGGAGTCCGATCTCTAGCTGGCCTGGCCCTTGGCTTGCTGTGTGACCTAGGGACAGCCCCTTTTTCTCTAGTCCTCTTTAGTGCTGTGAAATGACCAGCTATCCTTTGGGGCCCCCTGCTGGCAGGTTAGGAAGGTGCAGCCCAGGCCCCCAGAACAGACCCAACAATTCTGTCCCTAAATTGGGAAAGGCTGATTATCTCACTCTCCATCCCAGCTCCCCGTTTTCGTGAGGTGAGTGACCTCATTGCACTATATCTTCCCTGGTTCCCCCAGGTCGCCTGGAGGCCAACCAAACTCTTGAAGGAGCTGGTAGCAGCATCACCAGTGTGGACTTCGACCCCTCGGTGAGAGGCCTTTGTCGCAGTAGCATGAGATGTTTCCTTCCCCCCAGTCTCCACCCTAGGCAGCTGGGGGCTCTTAGAAATACATGGGTATCCTAGAACTGGGCCCTCAAATCCTCCTCTGCCTGCCCAGGGACCTGGGTTGTGAGAGAAGTCTCAAGGCGGCCCATCCCAGCTCTCTGGCCTGAGGGATGTTGCCTCTGGCCAGGCCCAGGTCTCTGACCTCTCCTACTCTCATCTCTCCAGGGCTCCCAGGTATTGGCAGCTACTTACAGTCGGGCTGCTCAGCTCTGGAAGGTGGGAGAGGCACAATCCAAGGTGAGGTCTGACTGGGGAGGCCGCCTGGGGGTCAGGTTCATGCCTTGGGCCTAGAGGGGGGTGTAATGGAGTCTTGACTATGCCCTTGATCCATATTTGGGATTGCGGGGGGCAGGAGACACTATCTGGACACACAGACAAGGTGACGGCTGCTAAATTCAAGCTAACGAGGCACCAGGCGGTGACTGGGAGCCGAGACCGGACAGTGAAGGAGTGGGACCTTGACCGTGCCTACTGTGAGGCCCAGTCCCCCAACCCCCCGCCCACATCCTCCTCACCCCCCAGGCTGGTCAATGAGGGACCTTGACCTTCTCTCTGGAAGTGTTTCCCAGATTCATAGGCATTTGGTGTGAAACCTCCCAAGGCCCCTCCCTCTCTATCCCCATTGGTGCTGTCAGTTTTTTGGTGACCTGGGGCTTTGGGCTGGGAAGCAGGGGACCTGGGTTCTAGTTTTGGGAGGCTTCTGGGCTTCAGCTTCTCCTATGTCTGCGGGTTGGCTCCTGACGACCCTTCTCTGAGGCTGGGACTCTGCTCCTTGTTCCCTAGGCTCGAGGACCATCAACGTCCTTTCCTACTGCAACGACGTGGTGTGCGGGGACCATGTCATCATTAGTGGCCACAATGACCAGAAGATCCGGTTCTGGGACAGCAGGTGACAGGCTGTGCATGGCGGAGGCGCAGGGGCAGGCTCCCATGTTCTCTTTCCTTTCTGTGGCCGTGGAGCCCTGGTGGGCACCTCGGGGAGGGGTGGAGAGGCTGTGCTGGGCGTGGCCCCGTGAAGGCTCAGCTGGTGGACCTCTGCCACCTCAGGGCTTCTCCTTCCAACCAGGGGACTCTGCCTGGGCCTTGACAGCCAAGATCTAGAAACCCCTTTCCCCACATAGTCGCCACTTTTTAATCAAAAGGAACACAAGTTTCAGTTGTATTTAAAACCTAAGAGCCCAACATTGGGCTCGAATGGTGGTAAAGGCCGGTGCCAGGCCTGCCTCCGGCTGCTCCTTGCTCGTCTGCAGGGATTGCCGTTGGACACCCTTGCTGTCTTTCACGCGTGTAAAGACAGACTTCCTTGCTTTTCCTCTGGCCTTTTAAAAAAATAAATTGATTTCAGAGAGGAAGGGAGAGGGAGAGAGAGAATCAGTGATGAGAGGGAATCATTGATGGGCTGCCTCCTGCACGCCCCACACTGGGGATCGATACCACAGCAGGGCATGTGCCCTGACTGGGAATTGAACCATGACCTCTTGGTTCATAGGTTGACATTCAACCGCTGAGCCATGCCAGCTGGGCCCCTCTGACCTTATTTCAGTGACCCAAGGGCTTCAGGGGCTGCTCAGGTTCCTGTCTGCAGTGGGAGATCAGTCACTGTGAGCCTTGGCCTCAGTGCTCTGAGACCTGGGTGCCCTGTCAGGGGGGGCTGCTGCTCTTCCCCATCTCTGTCCTTGCTCCTTAGGGGGCCCGGCTGCACACAGGTCATCCCTGTGCAGGGCCGCGTCACCTCCCTGAGCCTCAGCTATGATCAGCTGCATCTGCTCAGCTGTTCCCGTGACAACACACTCAAGGTCATCGACCTGCGTGTCAGCAATATCCGCCAGGTGTTCAGGTACCTGCCTCATGGCCTCTGGCCTGTGGCTTTGGCTGGGGTAGTTGGGCCTCTTAAAGGCTCCCCAGGGCCTGCTGAGGTCCCCGATCCCTTGACAGCCACCTCCACTCTGACCCAACTCTTGTCTGTCCTCAGAGCTGATGGCTTCAAGTGCGGTTCTGACTGGACCAAAGCCGTGTTCAGGTGCGTATGTGAGAGCACATGCCTACCCAAGTGTGCCCCGTCTGATTGTGTCTGTGTGTCAGTGTGTGTGTGTCCTCACCTCTGACCTCCTCCTCTCTCTTGCTGTGCCGTGGTCACTGCAGCCCAGACCGAAGCTTTGCACTGGTCGGTTCCTGGGACGGAGCCCTGTATATCTGGAATGTAGACACTGGGAAATTGGAGAGTAGCCTACGGGGACCCCACTGGTGAGCATGGCCTCCACCCACCTGCCCACCCTGGCCTTAGGACCACTGCCGCCCTGCCTCCGGTCCCACTGAGCCCAGTTCAGGTTCTGACACGCTTGGGCCCTGGAGTCCCCCGCCTTTGTGTCCATCTCTCCCATCTCCCAGAGCCCTTTACTGTTCACAAGATGCCTTTTCATATGCACTTGGGTCCATCTTCGCCGTAGTCCTGTGAGCCTTTTATAGGGAAGGAAATGGGCTCAGAGCAAGCCTCAAACTGCCCAGGCCCAGTACTGAGGGGCAGCGCCAGGCTGCAGGCCCACATGGCCCTCCCCTGAAGCCTGGCCCTCCCTCTCCTCAGCGCTGCCGTCAACGCCGTGGCCTGGTGCTACTCTGGGAACCACGTGGTGAGCGTGGACCAGGCCGGGAAGGTTGTGCTCTGGCACTAGTGCCATGACTTCCCTGCCTGGGCTGGATCTCTCATCTGAAGCCTGAAGCCAGAGAACAGCTTCCCCCTTCACTGAGCTCCAGGGCCAGGGGGCCAGGGAAGTGTGGGCAGGGTGGGGTGGTCTCAGGGCATTTAGTAGGGAAGACGGCCTGGCAGGACCTGGCCTGTTGGTTTAAAAACGAAGTGTGGGTTGGGGGTGATTACAGTACATTTTGTTTATTGCTGTCTCTTTACTTTCTCTGCCAAAAGTGGAAAAAAATTACATCTAAACTGGTGTCAGCTTGCCTCTTTGCAGCACTCAGGGAGCAGAGAGGCCTTTGGGCTGGTGGCTCAAGGAAATCCAGGCTTGGCCCCCTTTCCTCCTTGGGCACAGAACTGGGCAGAGCTGGCCTGAGAGGAGACAGCATGAGAAAGGCCAGAGGCAGCAAAGGGCAGTGATTCTTGGAGCCATGGGAACATCACCCTTGGTCCACGCTGGTCCTGAGGCCAACATCTTGGGCCCACTCAGAGTAGACTGAGGCCAAGGGGGAGCCGTGGAACTGTGGGAGTCCGAGGAGGGAGGAGGAGAGGCAGCCGGGAAGGGCCCTGGTGGAAAGGGTCCTAACGAATTGGAAAGTGATGGCAAGTACGTGGGACACAGGCCTGCCTACCTTTAGACCAGGCAAGTTCTTGCTCCAGAGGCAGAGCCCGAGTGGGTGGGGAATGGCCTGTGTGTCTGGGAGGGAAGCAGTGGACTGGGTTTGGGCCTGGGCCGCTTACATCGGCATCTGATTTAATCTTCACAACATGCCGCCGAAGTGCAGGGCAGACCCAACAGGGTAGAGCCTGGGGACCCCCTTTCCTTCATCCTCCTGGGGCACGGCGGAGGGGTCAGCAGGACGGCCGCTGTCCGGAGCGATGAGGGCTGACCTGTGGGGATCTGCCCAGCTGAGTCAGAGGCTCCAGTCTGAACCTACGCCTCCTTTATCATCTTACAGTTTCCCCTGGGGTCGTTGCCAGTCCCAGGGTTTTGGAAACCATTTCCAGAATGGACAGCAGAGAGCTAAGAGCCTGGACTCTAGCCGACTGTCTGGGTGGGAATCTCAGCTCCGCTATTGAGCAGCTGAATGGTTTTGAGCAAGTTATCGTCTTTGTGCCTTAGTTTCCTTCTCTGTAAAATGGGATGTAGTGTACACCTCAAGGATTGTTGTAAGGCCCCATTGTGCTAGTACTAGTATTTGTAGAGCTCCTGGCACATGCCAAAGACTGTGTGTTGGTTAAGTACCCAAATCTGCTGACTCCCAGATCACTCACTGCTCTTGGTTGCCCAGCTGTCCCCTGAACTCTAGGTGAGATACCCAGCTACCTCCTGGGCCTCATCCCTCCCCCTGCCCCCACATACACACATAAGCTCCTCTTCCCCTCACACAGCACATCCTCTGGCACCAAGGCCTGGGGCCACCGTGTCTCTTTCCAACCCTGCTGCCACTGCAGGCCACCTTCTGGATCTCCTGTTACCCCACCGGCCCCCTCCTTGCCATCGTGACGTTCTAAGGTGTCATGGTCACATGTCCAACCATTTGGAGTCCCCTGCTGCCTGCAGAGAAACTCGGCCTGAATTTCAAAGCCCTTGGATCCACCCTGCTGGCCTCGGCTGCATCTTCATGTCCTGGCTACTCTGAATGTGTCTTCCATGTGACTTTCTCTCTATTCAGACTGTTCTTCCCTCCAGTCCCCAGTTCACATTTGCCTCACTTGCCAGGCTGGCCAGGGGCCTGCCTCCGGTTTGTGCTCCAGTCTGTGTCTGCCTCCCTTCATCTTCAGCAGAGAACTCTTGGAAGAGACCAGGATGGAAAGTATTCCCTGGGGTCAGACCTGGCACAGAGAAAGCCCCAGGAAATGTTTAAGGGGCTAAATTCTGCTCAAGGACGGCAAGTCCAACAGTTAAAGACACTTGGAGTCCAGCGTTCTTAGAATCTAAAATTCCAGAGGCCCAGCCCTCATGTCCTGGCTCCAGGTGGCCACCAGGAGTCACCAGCTGCCTAGTGTCTGCTGAGGCCATGCTGTCTCCTGGGATTCATGGCCCGAAAGACCAGCGCTTCCAGGAGCCACCATTACCCAGTGCTCGTGTCAGGCCCTGTGCTCTGCACTTTTCCTGCGGTCTCTCTTCTTAAAAAAATTATTATTTTTTTAATCCTCACCCGAGGATATCTTTCCGTTGATTTGCGAGTGGAAGAGAGAGGGAAAGACAGAGAAAATATCCATGTGTGAGAAACACATTGATCGGTTGCCTCCTGCACGTGCCCCGACCAGGGCCTGGGCTGTGGGGAGGAGCCTGCAACCCAGGTACATGCCCTTGACCGGAATCGAACCCGGGACCCTTCAGTTCACAGGCTGACGCTCTATCCACTGAGCAACCGGCTAGGGCGTCCTTTGGTATTTTATTTGTTCCCAACCACCTTGTGATATCGGTGTTTCTTGTACAGATAAGAAAATCGAGGCTCAGAGAGGTTCAGTGATGTGAGATTACACAGCTGGATTGTGACTATTATACTTAAAAACACACACAAACCAACCAGAGAATTTGGGCTCCAGTTAGGCAGAGCTGCATGGCATCCCCCACCCGTGTCCCAGTGGTGTACCCCTGCCAGGGGGTGATTCCTCCCTGCATCTTCTTCTCCATTCTGGGCCCTGGGCCTGAGCTTGGAGGGCTAGTGTCTTTTTTTTAAGTGAGGGACATGCAGGGCCACAGGGAGTGAGGGAAACAGGAGGTTGTTATCAGCTATACCGTGTGGGGCAAGTTCCTCACAGGACTGCAGCGAAGGCTGCTTCGATAACCGAAAAGGTGCTCAGGAAATGATCTGACTCGACTCCTGGGACAGCAGCCCCTCCGCTCCCCTTAAGCCTCCTCTCTTTGGGCCAAACTGACAGCACACCCTTGGGGCACAGTGGCCTCACCTGAGGGAGCACACAACCTTCACTTCCGTGGACGGAATGCTTCCTGGAGGAGCCAGAGACGTTTGGGGACAAGGTGGGCCTGGACGAAGAGCGGCTGGCCACGGCCGGGTGGGGCAAATGCTCCAAGGGGGTGCGGCTGGGAAGGCTGCACCTGGTCTCTGCAGCCCCTGTACGTGGAGGTGGGGGCAGAGCCCTGGTGCTGAACGCTGACCCAGGCTCTCAGTAGTCGGAACCCAGGTTTTCAGTACTGAGCACTGTGCAGGGAGTACTCAGACGTTCAGGCTGCTTCCCAGGGAGGGGGCAGGGACTTGCACAGGATAAGAACTCAGGCCTGTCCCTCCTTTCTGGAAACTGGACTCAGGTTCTGCAGAGGGGCTGGCCTGGTCTCCTGGGAGACCCCGGGCAAAGCAGTGTCTTCCAGGGCATGGAGCGTCCGATCTGAGTCCTCCTGCCCCATGACTCTGGGCCTCACCACAGGTGACCCTCACCCAACAGCTCCTCCCTGGGCTGTTCTGCTGGTGCAAGTACTGCATCCTCTGCCTACCCTGCCCACTCTCAGACCTCATGAGCCTGAGACTCAAGAGGGAGGAACCCTAGTTTGGGGCTCCAACTGCCCCTTGGTCATCTTCCTGTCTTGGGAGACGCTTGGCTCCGGTCTCCCATTACTGAGTCTCCTCCTGGGTAATGGGGGAGACATTTGTGTCACCAGAACATGGCCTGGAGCAGTCAGTTTGCTGACAGGACAAACAACAGTTGGAGAGATGTTCTCTGGAGGAATCCTGGCGGCCCCAGGCACGGACCTACCTGAGACTAAGAACAACTCAGTGCAAGGCTATTTCCTTTCTCTGGATGCACATCCACTAGTTACAATTTTATCAGCTTATCTGTCCGTCATCTTATTGATCCTCCTGGAGCTGAGGGCGTTTGTATTACCTTTTCATTCTCGCTGTAGGGTGAGGAAAGCAAGCCCAAGTCCACAGCTCGTCGGGCGGCTCAGGGACTTGAATACAGGCCGTTCGGCTCATCGTCCTCGCCCCTCACAGGGGTGCGTGGGTGACAAGAACGAAAAGGACGCTCAGGAGTTCGGCGCGCAGTGTGGCAGGGATGTAAGTTCCCTTCTGTTTCAGGATCAGATTCCAGGAGAACATTCCGCAGAAGTACATTTGTTCTTTGGCCAGTGGGACCAGGAGAATGGTCCAGGAACAAGACGCTCTTTGGCAGTCACGGGGTTCTTGGCAGGTCAAGCAGTAACAGAGCAAACACAGGGAGAGTCTAGGAAGAAACATCCCGGTTGTGTCAAGTTGCGAGACTTCGAGACAAATGATAATTCTCCCCCTGAGCTAACATTTCTGTAACGTGGTTGTATTTTTGTCACGAAAAACAACTTCATAAAGAGCAACATAAATAGAGAGTCCGAGCAGACAGATTTTGTCAGGAGGCCACTTTGAGAGGGCTAGGCCGTTAGTGGTCCCACAGGCAAAGCTGCAGCTGGGCTCCTGGGGCAGCCAGTGAACAGTGGAGCCTGGGATGCGATCCCGACCTGGAAACTGAGGGTTTGCTTTGTCTCAGGGGACAGTGCAGGGGCTTGGATTTTCCAATTGCTGGCCATCCGGGAAGTCTCTGTGTGCGAGTCTGTTCTCAGATACTGCAACCTTTCTGTGCGACATTCTCACTCTGCGTCAAGAAAGAAAACTTATCTAGAACACTGGGAGTTGGATACGTCCTTGGAAATCACCCGTTTTCACTCCTTTTATCGCCGGGGATGTGGCAGCGTGGAGGGAAAGGTCACCCACGTCCTCTCACTAGCGTCTGTGTCTGGCTGGTGGACATGGTGGTCAGAGAAGAAAGGGATCCAGGTGATGTGCTGTGAATCCAACCTGACTGCATTACAGTTAGTTCCTGTGATGAGAGAGTGAGAGGAGAGAAATATGGCCAAAATGTAGCTGTGACATTAGGGTGGGGCCATTAGCTTAACTCTGTTCCTGAGTCACAGACTAATCCTCTGATGCCAACAGCAGTCTCAAAGGTGAGCAGCTTTTCATTAGCAGGTGAAGGCAGATGGAAATGACATTTAATGTGCACAACCTTGTCTCATTTACGGTAAAGCCTTCACACACACGCCTCCCCTTGGGCCTCATGGCAGCCCTGTGTTATCACGAGGCTGGAGGAGCAAGGACTCTGAAGGAGAGGACGCCGAATGTGGAAGAGGTTCACGAGGAATGTTTGTGACCACCGTGCTGCTCACTTTATGCATCCTTTCTGGGTCCGCAGTATTACTCTCAGATGTCCGATGAGTATGCTGAGGCTCAGTTCCCACAGCTCCCAAAGAGGAGCCAGAATTTCACTCAGACCTTCTGACTCCAAAGTCCATGTTGTCACCTCCAATGCTGTTGGTGGGCGTGTCAATGGATGTGATCCTTTTGGAGGCCAATTTGGCAAAGTCTAAAAAAATTCGGTCTGGCCGGTGGTTCAGTGGTTAGAGTGTCAGACCACAAACTGAAGGGTCATTGGTTGAGGCAACCAATTGATGGGGCTCTTTCACATTGACTGGGCCTGGACGAAGAGCTCTCTAAAATCAATGCTCTCTCTAAAAATCAATGGAAAAAATATCCAGTGAGAATTAACAACAAAGACACCTAAAAAATTTAAAAAAACATAACACCTTTTTGACTCTCAAATTACATATTTAGAAATTTCCCCAATGTTTTTACTGGAACAAATTTATAAAGAATTATGTACAAAGATGTTAATTTCAAACTTTTTAATAGCAAATGGATGGATACAACCTCAATACTCGTCACTATAGGAATGTTTAAATTATGACCAGACAGCCCTGGGCAGTGTGGCTTGGTTGGTTTGGGGTCATCCCATGCACCAGGAGGTTGCTGGTTCAATTCGTGGTCAAGGGCACATGCCTGGGTTGCAGGCTCAACCTCCTGTAGGGGGCGTGCAGGAGGCAGCCGATCAATGTTGCACTCTCACATCCATGTTTCTCTCTCAAAAATCAACTACTCTTAAAGTTATGCTCAGATAATGGATTATAATGTAGCCTTCAAAAAGAATGAGGTAAACCTAAATGTATTATATAATCCCACATATATAAAAAGGCAATATGTATAGGGGTATGAGTTTTATGGCCAGAAAATATCTGGGAGAATACATATCACATGTGTGCAGCTCTGGGAAGAGGAGAGCTGTAGGCCTCTGCCCAAACATGCCGAGCCCTGACCCTCAGTGTGGCCAGCTGGGAGCCACAGGGACTCAGCCTTTAACCAGGAACCCATCCACCCCTGGGGCCAGTGAAATCTCTGCTTGATTCATTACTCCTGAGGGTGGAGGCTGGGGAAAGGGCAGAGGAGTTCAGAATTCCCACTTCCCAGAAGCCAGCAGTTACATCCTCCGAAGTGACTTCCTTCAAAGTCACATTCAGTGACTTCCTTGTCCCTGCAGCTGCAGAATCAGCTCCATGCTCAGCTCCCCGCGCACACTGTCCTCCCCTCCCTCCCGGCACGTCACACAGTACTGTCATGTGTGTACCTGTCCCCCACCGCTGAAAAGGACCTTGAAAGCAAGGCCACAACTTATTTGTTATTCTCTCTAGGTATCCAGAATGTTACACCTGGCAGCTGGTGGCATCAGGAACTGCGTGTCCCAGGAATGGGTTAACAGATACCTCTCTGTATCTGTCACATGGTTAAAGAAGGGCCTACGAGTGTGTCGTTATAAGTAAACTTAGAAAACTTACTTCCATTTTTTTATTATTCAACATTTTATACATAATAAATACAAACTTTTTACAGCCACTTTACGTAAAGAAAGCACATCTGCACAGAGGAGCTCCCTCTAAGCCGGGCCCTGTGCACTGTGACGCTGGGTTACATGTCCTGGAGGGAGGAGTTCTTAAAAAGGAGGCTTATTTGTACAACATTGATTTTTTTAAAAATAAAATTAGCAGCTCTTCCAAAAAATATTTAAAATATAACAAAATTTCAAATAACCCTCTGAGAGTGTGGAAAACCCAGATTCAAGGACAATTTGGCTAACTAGAGAGAGAATACAAGACTGGGTGGCAAGAACTGCCTTATTCAAGCACTTGGAAGATTTTTAAAGTGCTTTGAAGATATTTAACATGTAGGCAAACTTTAAAATCTTAAAAAAACCCACCCTTTTAATTTATTTTTTAAACTTAAGAATAAGTTTGATAACACAAAAAGACCTCAAATAGATCAACAGATTAAGAAATGCAAAAATAACAAAAAAAACCAA